CTGGGATCCGCTTACCCCCCCCCCCCCCCACTTTTTTCTATCAATAGAAGGAGCAAAAATTGGTTTTTGCTCCCTTTACATTATGAAGAAAGAAGTAAGGGTCGTGAACCAATTTAAAATGGAACAAATACACCCTTAGGTGTTGAGGTGGCATAGAGAGTGAGCTCACTCTCTGATAGGAATGTGAGGACAAATAAATAACTTAAAATGTGATTAATATGGACACATCATTTTTAATTGGACACTTAATAATTAATTAATTCATACACATAATTAATTAACATTAAAACTTAAGCATAAATCTTTTAAATTATTTTCCTTGTTTTCTATTTCTTTCCTCTTTTAGAAGCACCATTACTTACAAATATTATGCTCTTAAATATAAAGTATATATAATATGATAAAAATGAGCATTTTTTTGGTAACTAATTGTATTACTTACTAAAGTAAGAAACTGTACAGTGCATCATGAAAAGTAACAACCAATCAAGAACATAGTCCTCGGTTTGGGCCAGTCAGCCTGAACTGGCTGAGCTAAACGTTTTAAACACGAGTTTAAGCCAATCAGCCTGAGAAATTCTACAATGAGCCTCACACAGCAAACAGTAAAACACTACTTGTATGAGAGGCTATTTACATGCTTGACAGGAGGACCTTTTTGGGTCCCACTTACCAAAACTCCTCCAACTTTCCCTCTCTGCTCAATCACTTTCTCCCTCTTCTCTAATTTGCTTCAACTCTTTCCTCCTCCTCCTCTTTTTCTACCCTTCTAAATCTCTCCCTCCAAACTTTCTTCTGCAACTGTTTCCTTTCCTTCCATCTTAATAATTTTTTCCCTAAGACCCTAACACACATGGAGACACCCACAAAATTGGAGAGGAACCATCCTCTATTATTCCCACCCCCAAAACAAACTACCTCCTGAAAACAAGAAACTTTATCAAGCACTCACTTCAAAGGAAAAAAAAACACCAACAACTTCTTCTGTAGAAATAACACGAGTTCACCAACACGGAACCATCCCCTCACTTACACGGACAACATTACCCA